TGGGCTGTCGAACCAATGACATGGACCCGTAGCTGCTAAGGTAGGCCAAACCTAGGATAGCATTCAGGGTTAGGGTCCATGCAGTGGGAAAATGATCAACGTTGTTTTTTTTTAACACAACCTGCAGCCCCCCAAAATGTAGTAGTTAATGATTTGCTCCATGACCTTGCAAGTAATGTTCTGTTACTACTAGTTAAGCTTGTTAGTCTGACACACTAACAATTTAATTTTACGTTTGAGCAGCAAACTGTTGATCCCATTCCCTACACTTATGCCCTTGTGTTTAGGGCTTTGGAAAGACTAAAAAAACATAAAAAGACACCACCCTCTAAACTCTTTAAATGCAGAATTCTTACCACAGCCCGTACACACTGCTTCGGCATGTGAAGAAATCCCCAGGCCTACCATGCAAAGCAATGATTGGACAATCCCTGTTTGGGGGAGGGGTTTAGCGAATGGTCAACTGTATTTAGCTAAATTCTGAACGTTACGTATGGAAGCCAGGCATGCTGTACTACTGGGGGCATCACAGTTATAGTGAGAACATTTCCATATGCTGTTTCTGCTCCAGGGAAATATTTTCCCTACTTTGAGACACATATATTTGAGTCATGATGCTGTGGTTCATAATCTCCCAGAACAATTTGGCCTTCGTCCCCCTGCCAAAATATGACAAAACATGTCATCAGAAATAACACTTTCCTCTGTTTTTTTTGTTGTTGTTTTTGTGCCCTTTGAAACCCCTATCCTGCTGTGAATGTACCTTCAAACAGAAGCAATGTGGATGCAATTATGTCTCCTGGGTCAGTTTGTCCCTTTAAGGTTTAAGTGGGTTGGAGAGTTTTATGATTACAGACTTTGCTGTGTGTTTAAGGCCAGCACGTTTGTGATTCTGGGGTTGCCTCTGTCCCTATGTAAAAACTGAACCAAAGGCTGCAATCTGAACTCAGTGCAAGTGCTGTTTGAGCTATTATAATGTTGTTTACTATAAGGTCTTACGGCCACTCCTCACCACAGATCACAGCTTCTTTAAACTGTGTTTTCAACACTCACAACAACAGTAGAACCATGTTTATCCAAAATGCATACTTCTAAGTCACTTTCTGTTATCCTGACACGCGTTATGAACATTATGAACATTTTAAATTATTTTAATCATTATAATACAGCATGTATTTAGAGATTGTATACATTTGTCAAAATAATTAAGAAATTAAAAATTACATAATCCAACCTGAAGTCTGTGAACAACTTTACACTGCCTTTTTTTTTTTTTCCCGTGAGGAAAACCATATTTCTTTTATTTGTTGCAGCTCCAGATGGATGCATCATAACCTTCCCTGCTCCATGTTTTTCCCAACTAATTTTTTAAAAACTGTATTTTTTATCTCTTTTTCATGCATTTGGTTATGTGTGTGTGAGTGTGTGTATATATGTGTGTTTGCAGCTTGTCTCGCAAACTACTGGACCAATCAGTCTCATATTTTGTGTCCACATTTATGATTACATGCTCAAGGACCTCCCGTGGGTGATTCATGATTGTTGAAAAACCTGTTTTAATGTTTTATGGGTCATTTTTACACTCCTCCTAACCGGTTGGTAGGGGCCTTAAGTTTTCCCGAAATCAGCTTGGCTAAAAAACAAGAAGCACATTTTGGCCTTCATCGTGGCTCAAAAACTGACATCCATAGAAATGTTTGGTCTCATTTTGAACTCCAGCATCTGGAGATTAAGTCCATACCTGATATATTATGATCCACTGAAGTCAGGCACGATAAGAGATGAATATTTGACCACCAGGCACAGCTGCACTGTTTTCCAGCTGCCATGGCTGTGACCTGGTTATGTTCTGTCTGCCACACGGGGTCATACCACACCAGGAGCGTTTTAGCAGCAGAGCCTATTTTGCCTGTCCAGTTTTCTAGACCTCTAGAAATGTTTTAGTTATTTTTCCTTGATATTTTTGCTTCTATCACAAGTAAGCAATTTTTTTTAGGTAAATTGTTTCTTTGTTGGTCTGTTTTTTATTGTTATTTCCTACTGTGTTGTGCTGAAGTTTACAGACAAAGTTGATGCCTTTAAAAGTCCAGTCATGAATGACATGGATTAAAGATTTATGTCTGTGAGTGAGTTTTTCATAAATACATTCATCCACATTATTACATTGTATTTACATTTCACATACAGTGCTTGATACTGTAGCAGGAGATATCGATCTGATCTGTGCAATGTGCTGTAGCTCCATCAAAAATAGATAAGACCTGTATTTTTATTAACTCATGGGACACTCCAGATACCTGCTGCACCACGTCTGGTGCAATTACAAGAATTGTCTAGAATCTGCGATCATCTCGGGTGGTCTTTCCCTACTGAGTGCACTTTTCTAGTTTTGACACTGTGACTGATTACTATTAACTTTGACACTTTGGCAAACAAGAGTGTTTTCTTTTGCTGTTCTTTTTCACTTCCATTTCAACCAGATGAGTCAAGCAAGTCCATTTATCACCATTTAGTTGTCTTGTCTATCTCTCCACTCATTCATGAGAACAAGGAAACATGTTTTTTTTTTCTTCTTTACTGTGCGGGGTTTGCTCAACTGGAAAACCCACAAGACAGCATGCAATGGAGCCTTACAGCACGCAAACCAAGCCCTCAACTACTTGTTTTAGCTCCCTCTGAAATAGGTGGAAGCAAAAAAGGAAACAGGAAAAGTGAAGCACCTGATTTTGGCATCAGCCCAAATTGACCTTGACTTTAGAGAAGTGCATAACTGGATTTTCACACGCAGTAGATACATGAGATCTCTCCCATCTCTCTTTTTTCCCCTCTATCTTTTCATTCCAACTGCTGCTTCTTTTAATGGATGAGATCCTGCTTAAATAATGGAGGGGGTTCGACTATGTAATATCTTTACTAGGAAAATAATCCGTGTGATGCTCTTCTTAGAAAAGTTTTATGTTCTGAAGCAAAGCAAGCGCCTGCAGGATCATTCCTGCACAGACACATGTGCATCCAACCATAGGCACAGTATTACCATGTGCACACAAGCATCAACACATAGTAGACATGCTTACACATACACAAACAATAAACTCCTGCACTCATCTCTTTGTGTTGCTCATACCCGTGGTTCACCAGTTCTGTCTCATTCTGCGTTGATGACACAGAGTGTGTGGGTGACAGTCATGTTTTTGTGTGCGTGTGCGGGGATTAGCATTATTGCTAGCACATGTGCGGAATGTGATGAACTGTGCAAGTGTCCAGCATGTGTGTGTGCGTGTGTGTGTTGATAGGGGCGGCAACAGCAGCAGCATCTGTCAGTACTCTGGGTGGCCTGGTGTTCCTGTTGGTAATTGGATCTTAAAGTTTAGAGCAGGTGATGACTGATAAGCACACGCAGACACACACACACAAATATACATACTCATAGCCTTGATGAAGATATGACTGAGATGGACAGGATTTATGCCATATGGGATGTACCTGTGTGAGTGTGTGTGTGTGTGTGTGTGTGTGTGTGTGTGTACTGCTAAAGGGGATGTTTAGTTTAGCAGTGCTGGTCATGCTTTAATGGAACCTTTTTTTATGCTAGTTCTTGCGTGCAGAAGTACTTCCAACATCAGCAACGTTCTTTTAGACCCTAAAGATCCAGTGTGTGGGATTTAGGTAGATCTATTGGCAGAAATGGAATATAACGTTCCAGAAAGGCCTTTTCACATTTTCATGTGAGGGGTGAGCAGAAGGGTAGATGCGGCCAAATACTACACACTGTTAATTTAAAGACTCTAAGATTTAAAGGGAGTTGCAGAGTGTTGAAGACATCAGCTGTGGAGATGTCTGCCTTTTCTTGAATATAATGGAGCTACACTACACTCAACTTATGGTGCTTAAAGCACCAAAAAAAAGTAAAGAAATGAAAACTCAACAGCAGTTTATCCTTTTTTCTACTGAAATACACCCATCAACCCTATCACTGCACAATATGAAGCGTGCATCTACTGCTAGCTTACCTAGCACTGCTGATCTAGCTAACGTTACAGCTCAGCCGAGGAGGATGCCATTATGTTTACCTCTCATGCTGTCACAAGCCTCTCACAACAAAGTCTGTGGGTTATTCTTAGTAGCCAAATCATGATTTCTGCAATGAGAAACTGCTGTTAAGTTTTTCAAGTGTATCTTTTTTGATGGTTTTAGCACCAAAAGCCGAGTGCCATCTAGTTCCATTATACTGAAGAAAAGTCAGACACCTCTATGGCCGATATCTCGACAAATTGGCAATTCACAACAAAACAATCTAGAATGATAAATATCACTTCAAGCAAGAGGTGAAATATGTATTTTGGATTTTGGGGTGAACTGTGCCTTTAAATTGTACTACTTTGCTACAGCAAGCAAGCACAGTCTGATAAACAACTCCATTATGTGTATTAAAATGGCTTTCACAGTCATGCTTTTTCCTGTAATGTAATAAAATGAGAACAATACACAGTGGCTGTTGATATCGATGTAGTTCCATTAGCCAGCTAAAAACCATTGAAGTGAAAATATAATAATATAAATACTGTACTACTCTAATGTGCAGCTACATGTGTGTCATGTGAGGAGTCCTTTACCTCATGCCAAAAGATGAATAATGACACTACTGTCTGTTTGGGTAATGCCTGCATCCATCTGTGTTATTCAATATCAGTATGTTTGACAGCAGGCCCAGAGTCAGACCACCTGGCTTGTTAAATGCGGGACCAATATTCCTTCAGGGTACTATGTGTCATTTACTATACCTTGGAATAGTGGTGTGCTTAGAAGAACAAACAAATTTAAAAAAAGCTAGTTTGAAATATGACATGGAGCAGCCTGTAGCCTCCCTGTATTAAACTTCATGTGTAGCCAGTAATCAAGAAAGTCATTAATCCGTCTCATTTTCTTTCTCCCCCTCCTCTCACTTCCTCACTCCATCCCACTCTCTCTTTTTGTCTGTGCCATCTGGGTTTTCATCGCAGGTGGTGCTTGACCACATGAGAAGGAAATGCAAGTGCCACGGGACGTCGGGCAGCTGCCAGCTGAAGACATGCTGGCAGGTCACCCCCGAGTTCCGGGTGGTGGGCTCAATACTCAAAGAGCGCTTCCACATCGCCACGCTCATCAAGGCTCACAACCGAAACACTGGACAGCTCGACCACTCCAACCACAACAACAACCACCACAACCACCATAACCATCACAACCACCACAACCACCACCACCATCACCATCATCAGAACAACCACCACAATCACCACCACTCACATCGGCGGCGACCAAGCATCAACGAGCTGGTCTACTTTGAAAAGTCGCCAGACTTCTGTGAGCGCGACCTGGGATCGGACTCAGCAGGCACGCAGGGCAGGATCTGCAACAAGACCAGCCCCGGCATGGACAACTGTGAGAGTCTGTGCTGCGGGAGAGGCCACAACATCCTACAGCAGACGCGGAGTGAACGCTGCAACTGCAAGTTTCACTGGTGCTGCTACGTGGTGTGCGAAGAGTGCAGGATAACAGAGTGGGTCAGTGTCTGTAAATGAAGAAACACACACTAAAAGACTGTACACAATAAAGAACACAAAGAAAAAGACTTTTTTTAAAAATCAAGACTATTAATTTGAAAGGGGAATATGACTGTAGTATATGTGCCCCATACCTTTTTGCGGTGGACTGCTGTTTTCCAGAACAGCGAGGACAGAGTGCGAAGCAGTTGAGCCAGCAGAAAGATAGATGCGCATGTTGGTAAAGAGTGTGCACATGTGGCATATGTCTAAAGCTGCCACAATGCAAAAGAGCTTGGATGTTTACTACCTTCCTCTTGTGACAAAAGGAACATAGTTAAGCTCCATGTTGACTGACATACAGCAGCATGAGACTCAGGTGAGCAAAGAGGAAGTAGAGAGTAAGCAGTAGATTGCATGCAGAGCGAAAATCATATTGCTTCATAGCACCAGCAGTATATAAGGTGGAAAGGTTGAGACAAATATAGACCTTTTCACACATCAGGATTCACAATGCACAGGATTTGACACAGCACAACACATCTGGAGCACTTAAGGATTTAGTGCCTTGTTCAAGGGCAGTTCAGAAGTTTCAGTGTTTATAGCAACTATCGTGTTACACCTAAAAATACAGCAGGGCTCAATTGACTCTCTGTAGATGTATCAGTCAGTCTTGCTATGTTGTATGCATAACATGTGATCCTGACTATTTAAATGAGCAAGTTCCATTTGAGGACATTACAGCAATGATGAATCAGAGTGGCTGAAGCTGAGGTCAACCAAAAGACAGGTCTGAAAGTGTGATTGCTGGTATGATTCGTCGTATCAGACCCTTACAACCTAACTTCCTTCCTTCTAGTAGACGATGACAAATTAAATCCATACATACCAGCTTCCAGTAGAGTCAGGAGAAGCACTAGCTATAATGTTAATTTTGTGAATCTATTCAACAACCATTGTGACAAGAGCTTGTATAGCTGTTTTGAAATAATATATTACCCCAAAACAGAGCACAGATACATTGTCCAAAATGTTCCATGTGTTGTCTGTGTTGTGTGTGGTGTGTTATATGTATGAGGACTGTCAGAGCAAAGTGCACAGTGGACCTTTATTTAACAAGTACAGTTCTCATCTTCAGCATGACCTGAACAGCATTGTAAATAAAACTGAATAATGCTGCACAAATACCATCAATAAATTTAAAGCGCCTCAGGAAACTGAGCGCATATGAACAGGCTTCAGTTCCTCACACCATAGACATCCTAAGCTGCCATCAGTCAAAGTGTTTCCTGTTTTGTGATGCAACATACTGTGTGCGACACTGTAAGCTTCTTGTGATATATCTACACTCACCTTCTTCACACGTCGTCGATGTGTGCAAATAGGGATATTTTGATGTCAACTTCAAGGTATATAAATAGCAAAGTTGATACGGATTCCTGCCTGTGCACATTTTCATATTAAGATCATATTTGTTCTCGAGAAATGTGTATGAGCGAGGCTCCTTATCAGACTGTAATTTATTTCAAGCAAATATTTTTCTGTGTTGAAAGCAGAGGAGAGAAAAAAAATCTGGAATTGTGTTTCCAGTGTAACAGATTATTTTGATCCTGATAAGTAGTTTGCACATACAGAACTGTGTCCAGGAAAACTCTGGGAGATATCAGCAATATGCATTTTTCTTCATGTCATAAATGTAATGTATGTATGTATGTATTTTTATGTTTTAATATGGTTATTATCTAAGTTATTTTATTTTTGTGGATAACTTAATATTTGTAAGACAATAAAGAAAGACCATAATATTGAAAGGGGCTTTAATGTGATGAATAATAAAATACATGGAAGCAGTGTATTTGGTAAGAGAACAGCTCTATGTTTATTTTGTCACGAGTCAACTGCCAAAAGCATACTAATGATGATGAATCCCTTAGTTACTGTATGCTAGTGTTGTATGGTAAGGTTACGTCAGAGGTCTCCATTCAATGTGAATACATAGCCTATATTCTAGTTATTAACATTACTTTGTATTTGTACAGGTAGAAGAATAACACCTTCCCCATTGCAGATCACACAAGCCAATCTATTAGTCATAAAGGAATTAGGCAAAGATGTCATGAAATCCAACATGCTATATTAGATACTGATGCCTTTTGAAAGGCCACTCCAAAGATTTAGTTCCAAACTTCCATAAAGCTGACTTATAAAAGACAGATTTAATTAAAAAAAAAAAAAAAGAATAGTCATGATTAAGGCAGCAGAGTTTGATATATCCCAATACTGGGTCATCTTCCACTAGCTTCTGTTGCTCAATGCAATATCTCGTCCAACATTTCTTTTATAGGTCTTTTTAAAGAATAGAGTTTGCCTATTGTTTACTGTCCATATTCTAAGACAAGTCACCATCCACTGCAGCAGATGCTATTAGAAACTGAAACAAAAAAGAAAGTGAGACCTACATATCCCATGACAAACACAGCAAGCTGATCAGCGCAGGTACTTATGTCATTGATACTTGCAGTGGTGTTCTCCAGCTGTCTGAGGGCCAGAAGCACTGGGGCACCAGAGGGCAGTAAATTTTCTAGCATGGAGGGTAGCCTACGGCACTGCATTGTGCTTTCTCCACTGGAAGGACACCTTAGAAGGCACTATCATATACCATATATCTACCACAGGGGCATCCAAGAGGGCACTTTTGCTGTGTATTTGCAACCATGCCCCCCACAATCCCTCAACTTGCTCATGGACCCGCCTCTTCTGTCAAGCTGACATAGATACAGATATTAAATAAACAACAATATTTGATCATCCTTATTGACAGCAAGCTACATACTGTTTGGAAAGGCTCTGTTCCAAGGCTGGATTTGTAGTTATTACTAGTTACACATGTGAATGGGATTTATAATTATAAAATAAATATAAATATATAATTCAACAGTATTGTTAGATCTTTCCAGCCTAGTAAAATGGTTATATACTCCAAGCTCCTCAACTCTGGTTTGCATCACAGTGTTTCTGTTCTAAATATTCAGAGCATATCTATGATTCAGAGGTTGTCTACACACAGCTCTCAACTGAGGCTGAGCCAGCGACTAGCAGGTCATGGGGCTTACAGTGTCAACTGTGCTAACAACAGCGACAGTGCTGAAGGAGCTAATGGTGTTTATCGTGGGGTTGGGCACTATGCTTTTGCAACATCCTGCTATCAATGGTAAAAGCCAAATGAGAGTAGTGTGGAGTAGCCAGTAGGATACACACATGGGACTCACATGCAGTAACATACACTCACAGCTGGACCACCTACGACAACAAAAACAAAGAAGTTGCCTTATAACACACATAGTTTGCATGATTTCATTCTCTGCTCGGGACTCTATTAATGAGATGGGACAATATTAATGTTCTACATATTGCACAGAGCTCCTTTAAATGACAGATCTGTGGAGAAAGTGTTCAGAAGCTTTATTATTTCCAGAATGACTGAAAAACCAACACAAAAAGCCCCATCACTATAATAGTTGGCCTCCATATTGTAATTACAGTTATTACAGTGATTGCCTTTGACTGCACATAGCCTGAATGTTTTTGTTCGGAACCTTAAGATATACCACGACCAGATAAGACCACAAGTCTGTGGTCAAGTGTAGACCCTCCCTTACCAGTTGCTGCTTGCGTGCAGAGAGAAATCCTGTTGAGCGTCCTGACTCACTTATATATTCCGTGCCCTGAGGGAAGTGATGAAGTCACCAAGTTAAGTGTAAGAATGCAAGAGATACACTTTCAAAGTAAACAGATGTGCAGTAAAAAGGTGCTATTTTAGAGTCATGCAATTCTATTCTTATCCAAACATACTGCTCGCTTTCAGGGAGTAAAAAAATAAAAGCTTCCTTTGCTGTCCTGCTTCTCCTCTCTCCTCCCTTGGTGCACCATCTGTATGTTGATTTTAGCATGCATAGTGCATCTTTTAGTACACTGATTTAAAGTGAACATGTTCTTCATCTCCCTCTCTACGAGTATAAATAGTTTATGTGCGGATGTGTTCATGTGGTGACAACACTGTTACGTGCGTGTTTGTTTATGCAAGCATGTGTGTTTCTTTTCGCGGGCACATGAATTTAAGTGACAGGGTGTGTGTCTGCATGCTCGTATTATGTGTTGACAACAACCTGATGCCAAGGTTGAGAAACCTGCTGAGATCCTTGCTGGATTCTTCCACCAGTAGGCTTAAGTGGCTGCCAAATCAAAGTTAAGATGATCCCCTCAATTATTATACAAGAAGTTATTGTGCAGAAATCAATCAAAACGCTCACTTCTCTTTTTTTCTGAATTAATGATTTCATCATGCATGGAAAGAATCAAACGCCAAATGGTCATATAACTATTCAGAATGCGAACAGATATTATAATCCTTGATAAATAGTTGTTTAATATCAGATTACTCGAAAGAAAGAAAAAAAAAAAACATTAATCTTCATGAGAATAGCTCCTGCCTGTGAAGAAACACCAGGCCTGGACTTGTGTGTTGAGTTTATTTGAACAGTGGCTGTTATTTTGATAGAGAGCAGGTCCCAAAGTGACTGCAGATTTGAGCTGAAACAACATTATGCTGTTGAATGAGATTTATTATGTTATGATCCCTTGGCATGAACTAGCAGGTCTGCATCACTTGTTAGACATTCTTTAATGTTTTCAGGGACAAGGTCAGGTTGTTTTGCAATGATGCCTAAATGGACACTCACTATGCATGTAAATAACGTGTAGCGACATGTGCGTCTTCACTGTACAGAGTGAAACCGCTTGCAAAACCATTGCATTACCTTGTAAATCAACATCTGTTGAAGTGAAAATGCGTCATTCTTTACCCTTTTTCACTTGTGGTGAAAATAGTTCTTCTGAAAATACAAGGTTCCCCCAGGACACTGACACCTTTTGTCCTTTGGCACTGCATATCAAGCTGTCAACAGGTATGTTCATTAATTTTTCACCTTAACTGCTTAATTGATATTGTTGTTTTCTGAGATGACTTGTAAAGAATGTTTTAATAACTCAGTTATCCTCAGCGTAAACAAAATAATTAAAAACATAAATTTTGCATATTCCTACAAGTAACAAGACCACAGTGTGCAAGCTGTAATCAGAGACTTTATAACTGCTGGGCATGTGTGTGTGTGTAAAGTATTTGTGCATGAGATCGCAGAAGAGAGCATACCTCTGTCTTTCTTGCATACTGTATGTTTGCATATGAGCATCAGTGCATGCAAGTGTTTTTGTAGGCATGTATGCATTTGTTTGTGTGTGTGTGTGTGTGTGTGTGTGTGTGTGTGTGTGTGTATGCCTTGTGATAGCACACTCAACACATCTGTTTCCCGCTGTCAGTACTTAAACTATGAGACCCTTAACTGTATCACTGATTACCTAAACACAGGCTAGGCTGTCGTTTCACCAAAATATGCAAAAAAACAACCAAAAGTAGGTGCATTAGTGGAACAAATGAAAAAAATAAAAACCTCTAGAAAGCACTAAGGTGCAGCGACAAAGACATTGCATGGCAGAGTTACAGTGCACACAATAATGATGAACAGAAAAGTGTGAAGATGGAAAGAAAGACGTGTAGGAAGCTAAAGATAAGGAGACAGACAGGCAGCTAGCTGCTACAAGCTTGATTGGGTATAAATGCTCTCTTTGACTTTTCCCTCAAGGGTGGATGGAAAAGAACAAATGTAAGGGACCAGTCCCTACAAGTAAACTCAGGAGAAAGAACATTGAATATTGCATTATAACAGTAATCCACGTATGCTGTGGGCGCATGTAGCAAGCAGCAAGTCGTGCAGAGCAACAACAGCAATATTTATGATTAGTTTGTATCACATTATAGACGACGTCAGTGTGTGACTGATCATCCTGAAAATCAGCTGACCACCGATGTAATGAATGATTTTAGTGTTATGCATTGAGCAGATGCCACAATGGTGGTCATTAAAGCTCTGTGTATGTTCTACAAATAGCTATTTATATCTGCAAATGATGCTCAGATTGGAAAGGCATCGTGCAAATGGTTCCACAATTTAGATCTCTGCAGGGCCTGTAATTTGCCCGTAAAGATGTCAGTTTGTGAATCATCACGTGCTTTCAAGAAAACACACTGAGCTGCCCAGAGTACTATCCAGTTGTACAGAGACTTGTAGCAAAGTAATATCAGCAAGTGCTTTTTCCATGCATGGTTCCATCTTAATAGACTGCTCATGACCAGTCAGTTAGGACTGCTTAAAATGCATGTTTCAGTAAAGTTTGGAAGCATTGCAATCCCTGACTGTCATTTTAGACATACCGCATCAGAAAAGATGGCCTTTGTAGGCTAGATCAGAGAAGACCACACAAGTGGATAGTTTAATCCAATTAGCTGAAGCAGACCAACACTCTGAGGTTAAATCAGTTCTACGCTAACTACTATCTAGTGATTTGATTGCTGACTTTAAATGACATTAATGAAGGTACATTTGTCAGAAATGGATTACTGTACTCTCTTTCCTTTTTCTGGTTGCAAATATTTCAGTTTTAACTTGACGAAAAAAGCTTTTAAAAAACTCTTTTCCAAGACATCTCTGTCTAAAGATAGGTCCTGTGTTTTGATAACTAATTCATCATTTTTATACCTTGTAGAATTGCTCTATTCCAAATTAAAATTCAATGTGACAGGAACAGGGAACACGCAAGGTACATCCACATTATCTCATAGGGCCTGTCTTGTATATAGTCCTTTCAGCTTCTTTACAAATACTTGATCTGCGCTAACACTGCAGTTTGATCTGTGTTACTAATTCATGCCCGCTTCCACCAGGGAAGGATCGAAGAGGA